CCACCTGCACAGATGTGAACCTAGCCTTTATATTAACAGGATAGAGTTTTTTTACCAAACCTGAGATAATGAAGTCCTGTTACAGTGGACATGAAAAAAGGGCCAGTTGTTGTGTATTCCTCACATGCATCATGAAAAGCTGAACATCTTTGTAAATACAGACAACTAATTATACACACTATCACAGGCCCACTTGGCTTACCAATGGCTTACCAGAGTATATATATATATATATATATATATATATATATATATATATATATATATATCCATTAGCAGACATCAATAGCTTTACCTGTATTACTAATTTTGAGTGACAAATTATTGGTATTGGGGTAGAAGTCTGTCAAAAATAACTTTTTAGGCCTTGTGCACATAGGGTGTTTTGCCAACTCACCTAGAAGCATTTCCTCCTGGCATCAGCATTTTGGCAGAAAAAACTCTTGACGTTTGTAAAAGTGTGTAACACATTTAGGTGCGTCCAGTGCTTCATTGGCCTTAATAATTTATTCTGGCCTTTGAAATGAATTAACACTCGAGCTAAACACACCATGCGTTTACAAGCGTGAAACGTTTTTTTCTGCCAAAACGCCCCTGCTCCTGTATGCACTGACAGTGGGGGGTTTTTTTTCTACTTTAACCACTTGCCTACTGGGCACTTTTACCCCCTTCCTGCCCAAGCCAATTTTCAGCTTCCAGCGCTGTCGTACTTTGAATGACAATTGCGTGGACATGCAACACTGTACCCAAACAAAATTTTTATAATTTTTTTTTTTGAGACAGAGCTTTCTTTTGGTGGTATTTAATCACCACTGAGGTTTTATTTTTTGCTAAACAAACTGAAAATTTTGGAGAAAAAAGTTTTTTCTTCGTTTTTGTTATAAAATTTTGTAAATAAGTAATTTTTATCCTACACTGATGTGCGCTAATGAGGCTGCAGTGATGGGCACTGATAGGTGGCACTGATGGGCATTGACAAGCATCATTGATGGGCACTGAAAGGCAGCACTTGTATGTGGCACTGTTAGGCGGCACTGATTGGAACTGTTAGGTGGCACTGAAAGGCAGCTTTAATGTGCACTGCTAAGCACTGATATTTGTCATTGATGGGCACTTACAGGTGGCATTGATGGGCACTGACAGGTGGCACTGATGGGGCTACACTGATTATCAGTGCCCTGATGATTAGTGTAGATGTCCCCACTCAGGAATGCCGATTACCGGCTCTCCTCACGAGCTGTCAGCGGGAGGAGAGGACTGCCGATAACCGGCATTTCCTATTACCATGTGATCAGCTGTGATTGGACATAGCTGATCACATGACAGAGTCGACGTCATCGGCTCTTTACAGTGATCGTTGATCCGCTGTGTCCCAGGGATCGCCGCGTGCCTCCGAGGGCGTGCATGTGCAGTTGGAGTGGGAGGACGTCCTCCCATAATGAGAGAACCGCTGCCCGCCCGTCATTACCTTATATATGGTGGACGGGAGGCAGTTAAATACCTGCCTTTAAAATCCTATGTGTTGATCTACTAAAACTGGAGCATGCAAATTCTAGTGCAGCTCTACATAGAAACCATCAGCTTTCAGGTTATTTTTTTCAAAGCTTAATTGAAAAAGCTAAAGTTAAAAGCTGATTGGTTTCTATGCACAGCTGCATCAGATTTTGCACTCTCCAGTTTTAGTAAATAACCCCAAAGTGCATATGGACACATAGGCTAACATGCAGGCACATTTAGAGGCAGAAAAAAAAACACACCAGGCTCCCATAGGAGCAGCTGAAAAAACGTCCAGTGTGGCCTTATTTTTATCTGATTTCCAGCAAGGCCTTATTTTAATCTGATCTGCACTGCAGTTTTGATCTTCAATCACTGAAACTGGAAAGTGATTGAAACAGTTCCACATTGCTGTGGACCATTCAGTTCTGAGGTTTCCTTTTTTTTTTTTTTTTTTTTTTTTTTTTTTTGTAGATTGAAAGCTTCCAAAATTGCTACAGTATTTGAAAAGGTATACTCTGCTTTATACTGAACACATGTCAACTTTGTGGCCCTTGTGGAAGAGTTTTCTCTTGTTGAAAACATAATTGCATGAAATTTAACAGTCAACAACAATTTCCCACCTACATAATTTTCAAGAGCCCAAAGAGTTGAAATTGTGGTGGAACGCTATCAGAATTATCTTTACACTGGCAATGCAGTGATTTTGGAAATTTGGTTTCTAAAAACTGGGAAATTTTGAAACATTGCTTGTAAATTGCTAAATTGTTGATCTTTCAATTTCAACTTTTTTTTTTTAGCTGATCTAAAATTTCCAAAACTGGCAAGCGTATTGTCAGCATTTGAGTTTGGGCTGAATTATCATTTTTATTTTAAGTAAATTTGGACATCCAGATCCTATGGCAGTCATTAGACCAAAGTAAGATAAGCATTCTGATATGCAGTGGTTATTTACATTTTGGAAGCACTATGTATCTTCTCTCTTTTGAGCTGTTAGAAGTCCGCTCAGAAATGAACAAGAAATTCTGTCAAATCCCTCAAGGTCACTAGCAGTAAGAGTTGGAGTGCCTGTCTAGCAACAGAGCAGCCTCCACTAGCTGACAGAACTAAGCCAGGCTGAGAGCCAAGGGGCCTTTTGGGTTCATGATTACACAGTATATGATCATTTCCAGAGTATTTAAAGGGCTGAAATAAATATATTGATCACTGTATTCGTGACCAATTTTTTTATATGTATTGTGTGTGAATGTAAAAAGAACACAATCTATGTATAGCTATTAAAAAGAATGCTTGTGGTTGTGTCACCAAAATGGATATAGCAGTTTTTTGACTGATGTTGTGGCGTTAAACCTCTAGATGTTTTTCTTATGTCTCTCAGGCACTCTGGAAATGAGATCTCTACACTTGAATTCCCGGGTTTGCACACTTGACCGTGGGCAGATACAAGACAGTCCCATTCTTCCCTGTTGGAGTTTTAAAGCCTAACTGCACTTAGTTTTTTTTCTTTTTTTTTTATCAAATACGTTTTTTATTAACTTATGTTAGTTAACAGAAAAAGTAAAGAAGGTATAAAAAAGACGGTTGCGTACACCCCCACCGCCATTAGACCAGACCATGAGCAGCATTTATGGAGATAATAGCAGTAGCATAGTAAGTAAATACATACAGTTCAAAGATACTATTATACCGGTCATTATTTGCTAGTGATCCTGATAGCAAATACTGTATAGCCTGATCACCTCTCCTTCCCCCTTCAAGCCAGGGGCACCATATGCAGTTCAATTTCAATATATCATTTAGTGGTATAACTCACTATTAAGAGTACCTATAAGAAAAGAGTGACAGGTGTAACTAAAACAAAAAACTAGTATTAATACTAAAAAGCGAGATTAACCAGTGCCAGACCATCTAATCATGCTTTTCTGCAGCATCTCTACCAGTTAGAATCATATACCTCGTATTGCGACATAGGTAGAAAATTAACCAAAAGACTGTAGGCAACACTGTATTGCTATGGAAGAGTAACACTGAAAAATCTGTGAGGGCGCACTAGTGCCAATGGGGCTTGACCTGGGGTCTGCAGCTATGGGTCCCACAACATTTCATATTTGCGGGGAGTACCCCATTGTTGTAGAATATGATGTTTTTTTGAGAAGGGCAGAGTTAACCTGCACATGCCAATCTTCAAACTTTGGGGGATGAGCGGATAGGCACTTGGAAGTAATACATTTTCCAAGCTAGGAATAGCAATCTGATAATAGGTGTTCAGACTTGAGGTAAAAAAATCTTCATCTAAAAATCCTACCACACGTCCGTGGATCATTACTCAGATTAGCCTGAAAGGATTTAAATATGGTATGAATAATGAGTTGCCAGTAGTGGACCAACTTGGGGCAACACCAAAGCATATGCGAAAGATCCGCTGGAAAATTGCTGCGTCTTGGGCAATCTGGACTCTCCCTATAATTCCAGCGATGGAGCTTCATAGGTGTTCTACAAACCCTATGTATTACAAAAAATTAGATAGTCATTGCGTAGGCAAAAGGCAAAAGGGATACTAGTAAAACCTGCTCCAGAATGGCCTGCCAAGACTCCTCTTTAAGTTCCCTAAGATCCTTTGCCCACTCCTTCCTACCGAGGACATGAAGTTTGGACAGAGAATTATCTAGCAACAAACTAAAAAAGTGTGGAAATAAGACCCTTCTTATCCATTGTAGAAGCCAAAGAATCCATTAGAGGAGTGGAGATCAATTTCAAGTTTTGACAATTTGGCCTGTGGTAAAAGTGCATGGCAATGCTGGAGGTCCTGAAAATCCGCAAGGGGAAATTCCAAATTCCTGCTGTATGTCCTGAAAGGATCTTAAATGTCCTTGCGTAAACAATTGATAAAGATATTGCACCCTTGATAATACCAATAATCAAAACCATGCAGCTTGCTCAACTCCTCAAAGTGTCTTTCCTCCTAAATAGGGGTATATTGGGAAATACCCTCATACCCCATGAGTTGTTTAATTTCTACCCGTACCAAATTCATCAGTTTCAAGGTGAACTTTTATTATTCATAATAAATTCACCAGACTATAGCTTCAATACTCGTTAGCTCTGTTGCTATCCCCCTCAGTAATTCTTCACCACTGGTGGGGATCCTGTTTCAGGTTGAATAACACCCAGCAACAGTCAACCAACTACCGAGGGCATCAAGAACCTTCCTCTAAAACATACATCATCTTGCTGCCCTGGGTTCACAGATTTCTGAAAAGAGGCGTGCAATTAGAGAGAAACATTCAAAACTCAAAGAAAAGCAGGCTGGAGTGAGGATGTTTAGCAAGGAGCTTTCACCAATACCCTACAGAGACATAAGAACTGAATGGTTACTTGAATAAAGAGTTTTGCTGAAAGTTATTGATTTTACTCTGTTAAAGATCAATTTTCAAAATACTTGAGTTTTCTGTCTCAAAAATAAATCCCTGTACTTAATAGAAATGGGAAAAATAGAGACTTTCTAGACCTAAATACTTTTTTCTCTATAGGTGTTAACGCCAATGAAGGGGGAGAAGATCCCAGGGCCTGGTGGTTCTCAGATCCTAAGCAGAGCAGCTTTAATGCTATGGATGAAACTACAACCTGCGCAGGGTTGGAGGAATCGCTGCAAGCTGTGACTAAAGCCTTTTCTGAACTTGGGCCCTTCAATGGAATATTGGGTTTCAGCCAAGGAGCTGCTCTAGTGGCCATGATATGTGCATTAAAACAACGCGGAGACCCTCGTTTCCAGTTTGACTTTGCTATCCTAGTTGCTGGATTCAAAAGTCGTGCTACTGAACATGCAGAATTTTACCAGCAGCCCATCACCGTTCCATCTCTTCATGTTTACGGCGACACTGACCGTGTTATCCCAGGAGAAATGAGCCAAGAACTAGCTTCCTATTTTGTAAATCCAGTCCTACTTACACATACAGGAGGCCATTACATACCTGTGTGTGCAGCACAGAAAAAGGTTTATTTCCCATTCTTGGACTCTTTCCGTAAATAAACTGACTGAATATAGATATTATAATACTGAATTTCTGAACATGATGCTGCAAGAATTCTGGATAAAACATAATGTCTCTGTTGCTGATGTATACCTTGTCTTCAAAGCAATGATTTTTGCTTTAGGGAAATATTTCACAAAGTAAAAATGAAAACGTACTGTGTTTTACAGCCCTAAATAGCAGACTGTGAAAAAAAAGGTTATTAAACTGTTTTTTAACTCTATGGGAATGTCACCTGTGAATTTAAATGGACCTGGGGAGGTTATTATATACTCCAGGCAAGTTTGTCTTTATTTTCAACTTATTCTACTTCTGTCCAACATCCATCCCTTCCAGGACTCTGTGTTCTTTTTTACACAGAAGATAGTTCTTAATGACATTGGGTGTATGTTTGGGGTCATCCTGCTGCAGAATACATTTGGGGCCAATCACATACCTCCCTGATGGTATGGCCTGATGGATAAGTATCTGCCTGTATCTCTCAGCATTGAGGATACCATTGGTCCTGAACAAATCTCCAGCTTTTTTTTTAAGAAACTTGCAAGGAACCTCCGCCATGACCATGGCTGACAGTATTTGTAGTCTATCCATTCACAGGTAACCATGAATGAATGACTCAGCTGTGTGGGTGGAGCCCCACACAGCCACACTGTTTTTAAATTGTGACAGGTAGTACGGGGAGAAGATCCCTGTCACAGAGAGAGGAATTGGAGAAGAGGAAGCAGATGCTGGAACATGTTCCACTTTAAAATTGTGTGAAACATGTAACATGTTCCAAAGGTGAATTTATCCTTTAAATCCCCCCAAAAAATAATATAGTACAGGTTATCAATCTTTAAATGTAATGGCTGATTTTATTTATTTTTTTAATTTGTTTTCAAACCTGTGGTTCGGTCTGCAAAAACCACGAAACAATAGTGAACCATAACGTAATACACACAAAAAAAATACCACTTGGATGTGTCATATGGTCCCCTCCGAAGAGGAAGGACCTCCGTACTCTGCTCCTGTACATGCCACCCTGTCATACCCTCCGCACAACTCTCCAATACATACCCCCGGACACACCTCTTCATGCTTTCTGCACACCTCTCCTGTAAACACCTCCCCCCCAATCATACCCTCTGCACACCTTTCCTGTACATACAGCCCCTGTCGTACACTCCGCACGTCTCTCCTGTAGATACGTCCCCCTTGCACACTCCGCACTCCTCTCCTGCAATCACCACCTCCATCATACCCTCTGCGCACACCTTCCATACACCTCGTCGTACCGTCTACAAACCTCTCCCACACACCTTCCCTGTTGTATCCTCTACACCTTTCCCGTACTCTCCACACTCCTCTCCCATACACACCTCCCTCCATTGTACCCTCTGCACACACCCTCCCCGTTGTCTCCGCACTCATCTCTCATACATACCTCCCCTGTCATACCCTCTGCACACCTCTCGCATACACACCACCCCATGACACCCTTATCACACCTCTCCTGCAAGCACTGCCCCCATTGTACCCTTCGCACACCTCTCCTCATACATACTGCCCCAATCATACCCTCTGCACTCCTATTTGGTAAATACCGCCCCCTTCCTACCCTCTACACACTTCTCCTGTACATACCACCCCCGTCATGCCCTTTGCACACTTTTCCCCCACCCTACTCTCTGCGCTCCTTTCCTGCACATACCTCCCAGTCATACCCACCAACATAGTGTCATTTGAGTCATTAGCAACTTGAATACCCAAATTCAAGGAGTATTCCGTGTAAATGATTGAAGTCATGAGGCTGAATAAACGTGTGGAGTTTTATTTATTCCCAGTCAAACCATCTATAGAGTGTATTGTATGTCATCTGGGATTCACAGAATTTGTAACTCACAGTGAGCTACCAGGTTTTTCCATCACCATCATCCAACCAATCAGAGGCGACTTCTCTAAGTTCCAGCTGTAGTAGGATGGCGGCTTCCTCAGCAGGAAGCAAGGCTGGTACACTGAATGTAGAATGCAGCACTCGTTCGCGCAGAGGATGGAAGCCTCCAGGAACAACCTAAAGAAGAGAGTGGAGCTCGTCATGAACAGCACTCCTCTGCTCATCTCAGAGTCGGGTAAGGGGGCATTGAGTAATTCAGGGGCTGATTCAGTCCCTCCGCTGAAGAAATCAGCCATAACCACAGTATTTTTTTTTTTTTTTCCAGCCGACGGCTGGCTTTCTATTGAAAGCGGTCCTAACGACTATTCAGCCATTGGATTGCTTTCCTTAGCGGTGGGAGGGGCCATTAAAACTAGCCCGAAAAACAATCCAATGGTGTGGCTGGCTGAAGATGGAGTCATATCCGGTGGATTGCGGATGTAAACAATTTTTTTTCCCCTTTTAAAGCAAATGTGCAAAAATGTTTTTTTTTATTATCTTTTGCTTTTAAAGGTAAAAGAGAGATTTGGGGTCGTTTTGACTCCAGATCTCTCCTTACAGAGGACTTGTCATGCATATTTCTATTACAAGGGATGCTTACATTCCTTGTAATAGGAATAAAAGTGAAGCATGCACATACGTAAATCACAAACGTATAACCGTAAACTGTGTTCATCGCGCACGTTAGAGTGAGAGCAGTAATTCTAGTGCTAGACCTCTTCTGTAGCTCTAAACGGGTAACCTGTAAAAATGTTCAAAGCATCGCCTATGGAGATTTTTAAGTACTGTACTTGCCGCCAGTCCATAAGTGTGACATGTTAAGTATCTTTTTACTCACCGTAACATCCTCTTTTTTTTCATTTTAAGAAAAAAATGGGGTATATATTTTGTTTTTTTAATTCGCTAAAGTGTTTTGGTTTTTTTTTTTCAAAAAAATTTGCTTTTGAAAGACTGCTGCGCAAATACCATGTGACATAAAAGATTGCATTGATCGCCATTTCATTCTCTAGGGTCTTTGCTAAAATCATTATATATATATTTATATATATAAAATGTATGGGGGTTATAAGTAATTTTCTTGCAAAAAATACGGATTTAAACTTGTGAACAAAACGTCCTAGAAAATGCTTGGTCTTCAAGTAGTTATGCAGCAACTTCCAGAAGCCAACTGCTGGGATCAGAATATGGAGCCAATGCGTGCTCTGTGCAGAGCCACTATTCAAACTGGTGCCTAGCAGTCTACCAAACTACCACATACACAGTCAATTGGAGCACAAGGTTCTGCCAGAGCCATTTGAGCCAGCACAGCCTTTGATGTTCCCAAGCAGGATCCTGAGCCCTGCTGTTACTGTAGAGCAGAAAAAAGTGGAATCACTCCCAAAGCTGGGGTTTAAATACGTGGGGCTATGCCTATAGTGTGAGTAGGGCCCCATTCCAAGGGCAGTAGGGATGTCATCCTCAGCTGGGAAGATCACTGAAGCTGCAGAGGATACCGCAGAGAAGCTTGCAGCAGTGGTGATGCCAGTGCCTAGCATTGTGAAAGTTGCAATAGGAGTGTCTGGGTCAGGTAAGCTTTAAGGGGAAGCAAGTGACATCAACCCCGGGTCACCCAAATGTTATTGGGGAGATAATGAAGGGGACATTTCTGAGTGATGCTCTTCGGGGGGTCATCCTCCGAGTGGTCGTGGGGGGACCACAAGGGATAGCATGAAGCAACCCAATCAGTTGCACAGGAACCAGAAGCTACACATTCAGCAGCCCAAACCCCAGAGATAGTGCCAATACAGGATATTGAACCTGAAGCAGAGAGGGAACATACTTCCCAGTGGATACAATTGAGCGGGGTCCCGAGCTCTGCTGCTGTTACTGTTGAGCAAAAAGAAGTAGGATCACTCCATAGATGGGTTGAACACCTGAGGCTATGTCTATAATCACAGAGAGCAGTAGAGGTGTCATCCTCAGCTGGGGAGATCACAGAAGCTGCAGAGGATACCACAGAGAAGCCTGCTGCAGTGGTAATGCCAGTGCCTAGAATTGTGGCAGAGCCAACAGGTGGGTCTGGATCAGGTGAGCCTTCAGGGAAGGTGGGTGACTTTGACACTGACCCCATGTCACCCAAATATGATCGGGAAGATAGTGATGCTTCTCGGGGTCATCTTTCAAGTGGTCTTGGGGGAGACCATAAGAGACAGCAGGAAGCAACCCAATCAGTTGCACAGGACCCTGAAGATACACATTTGACATCCCAGACCCCAGAGATAGTGCTAATACAGGTTATTGAACCTAAGGCGGCAGAGTGGGAACACACTTCCCACTGGATACAATAGATCAGTTCATGGTAGTCCACATCCTGAGCAGCCATTCTTGCCCAAGTACGAGGGGGAAAGAGATCCATACCATGCTCCTGGTATTCCTGACTTAGTTGAAGCTCCTTTTCCATGGATGTGTACAGCTGTCTGTCTTATGATCGGCTTCTGTCGACTGGGCATTCTGGAAAACCAATCCAGCTGCCATCCAATCAGTCACTTTTAGGTTGGGCCGGAGGCCTGGTTCCTTGCTGTGATTCCTTCCACCAGCCATTTTGCCAGCACTGTATCCTGTGGAAATGTAGAGGCAGTAGAACCACAGCATGCAAAGGGGTCCAGGCTCCCGACTCACCCAGAAATGTCAGATGCAGTAGGTTCTGTAGCCAACGTAGCTTTCAAGAGACTGAAGATTCACAAAGAGACAGGTAAGTATATTTGTCTTTGTTGGCAGGACTTTCTTTACTTTAAATTGCAGTGGTGTCACTTTATAGAGAATCTGTCACTTTGCCTGTTCCAGGCAATGTTAGAGGATCTGTTTAAAATCCTCCCACTGATACCTTCAGCAAGCTCTCCCGTTGCTCTTTTTTTGCCTTTGGAGCCCTAATGAGCAAAGTGACAAATTTCCTTTAAAATAAACCTGTGAGTAAATGAAAATAACATAGCTATCAGCAGCAGGTTGACAACAGCATAAGGTGTCAGAACATACTTGTTGAACTGAACATATCTTTGAAAGATTAGCATAACAAAGCAGTTTGGTAATCAAAGTAGATTTCCAAGATAA